AGGGGACCCTTTTGACTGGCCTTGATGTTCCTTGGACACAGATCTGAGTTTCCTTGCCTACTGGTATGACAAGATGTCCCCAGCTGTCACTTTCATTTCCTACCAAATCTGGACTTCACAGTTTCTCCATAGGAGCTGTCAGTCAGAAGTAATTAAAGACCAAACCTTGACCAGGGATACTTCTGGCAACTGGGTTGGTTTCATAACTTCCTCAGTGGGTGAAGCTAGAGGAAACAAATTTTTTTTAAATATCAGAGTTTCTACTTATTTCTTTTCATTCAATACAGAGCTACAATGCTTTCATTTAACTTTTTACATTTTACATTTGTACCTCATTTTTCTTCTGAAATCTTGGTTTCTAACAACATTAACATAATTACTTATTGCTTTACCCTATTATATATAGTTTCAAGATAAAAAGCAAATATCATAACGATAAGATTACAAAACAAAATCAAGGTTTATTTGAAGTTTTCTGTCATCAGGCTACATCTCAAGAGAAAATCAAATGTTTATGTGTTAAAACAATTTGACAATATTGTCCAAAGTGATCTATAAATCCATTGGAATCATTATCAAAATCTCAACAGCACTTTTTACAGAAATAGAAAAAAGAATTCTAAAATTGGTAGGGAACCTCAAAGGACCCTGAATAACCAAAACAATCTTGAAAAATAACAAAAGAGTTAGAGGTCTCACACTTTCTGATTTCAAAACATATTACAAAGCCAGTTAGCGAATTAGTGTAGTACTAGCATGACGACAGACACATAGACCAACGGAACAGAACACAGAACTCTGAAATAACCCCCTGGTCTGAAGTCACCTCACAAGGGTGACAATGCCATTCAATGGGGGAAAAGAAAGTCTCTTCAACAGACAAAATTGGGAAAAATGGGTAGCGACATGCAAAAGAATTAAGTTGTACCCTTACCTATACCACATACAAAAATTAACTTAAAATGGACTACGTGTCTAAACATAAAATCTAAACTATAGAATTTCTAGAAGAAAACATAGAGGGAAAACTTCCTGATGTTGGATTTTGGCAGTGATTTCTTCAAAATGACACCAAGAACACAGATAACAAATTTTTAAGTGGGCAAATAGGACTACATCGAACCTAAGAAGTCTGTACCTGAGGGACGCAATCAACAGAGTAAAAAGGCAACCTAGAGAATGGGAGAAAACATTTTGCAAGTCTTTATCTGATAAGGGGTTAATATCCAGAACACGTAAAGAACTATAACAACTCAAAATCAAAACAACAAAAAACAAGTAACCCAATTCAAAAATGTGCAAAGAACTTTAACAGAAATTTTGCAAAAGATGATATAGAAGTGACCGAGTATATGCAAAGGTGCGTAACATCACTAAATTAGAGAAATGCAAAGCAAAACCACAGTGACATACTGCCTCACACGCATTAGGATGGCTTTTATAAAAATAGTAACAAGTGTAGCAAGGATGTGGAGAAAACAGTACGGCAGTTCCTCAAAAACTTAAAAATGGAGCTGCCATAGAATCCAGCAATCCCTCGTTTGGGCATATATCCAGAGGAACTAAGAGCAGAATCTCAAAGAAATACTTTTATTCCTGTGTTCATAGCAGCATTATTCACAGTAGCCAAGAGGTAAGAACCACCTAAGTGTCTGTTCCAGATGAATGGATAAACAAAATGTGATGATACATACATAAAATGGAATATTATTCAGCATTAAAGAGGAAGGAAATCCTGCTATGCATGCTACCACAGGGGTGAATTTTGGACATTATACTAAATTAAATAAGCCAGTCACAACAAGACAAATAAGATAATTCCACTTAAATAAGATGTGGAAACAGAAAGAATGGTAGTTGCTCTGGGCTGGGGTACGAGGAAGAAATGGAGAGTTGTTTAATGGGTACAGAGTTCAAGGGTTTTTAAATTTCTATTTCATTGATTTGAGAGAGACAGACAGACAGACATCGATTTGTTGTCCCACTTATTCATGCATTCATTGGTTGAATCTTGTATGTGCCCTGACTGGGGATCGAACCTGCAACTTTGGTGTACCAGGACAATGCTCTAACCAACTGTACCACCTGGCCAAGACCCAGAGTTTTAGTTTTGAAAGATGAAAAGTCCTAGAGATCTGTTGCACAACAGTGACTATGCAATTACTGAGCTGTACACCAGGAGCACCTCTCCTGTGCGCGGTGATTCTCCTGAGTCCCCAGGCTTTAGGACAGTGGAAGGTGCTGTTTATCTTTGCCCCCTCAGTGCCCGGGACACATGTTATAAGCTCACTAGGTTTCTGATTGACCCACAAAACACCTGAATCAATGACTGTGTTGGAATCTACATAAAAGCACCAATTAGACATGGTGGTTGACATCAATCTTTAATTTTGTAGCACCCATTATAATAGATAAAAATAACCTTTATTTCTAAGAAAAATACAAAATCATACAGGCGATCAAAATGAAGGCAGCTTCAGAAGTACAACATTATGATATATAAACATAGAGTATCACAAAAATTCGGTAGTTTAAAGGCATTGCCTTCAATGGCTGGAGAAACGTCATCCACAAGGCTTGTGAGGGTTGCCTCCAGGGCTGTCACTACCACAGAAGATGGCTTAGGAAGTCATGGGAGGCTACCCTCTCTTCCATTTTCAGAGGGGGTGCTGAACTCAGGCATTCCAAGCTGCACCTCAGTGCAACTGCAGGGTTGATTTCTAGACGGCATGGAGGCTGAGTAGGACCTGTGCTGTGAATCTTCCTCCCAGTGATGGGTCCCACCAGGTGTGCACCCACTGCATGGACCTCCAGCAGGCCCAGCACGGGGCTTAGTGCAGCGGCCACAGCGCTCTCCAGACACTCACCCCCCTGCAGTTAGAGCCTCTTGCACAGGGTCCAGAGGAGCCTGAACTCCCACGAGCAGACAGATCAGTCTCCTCAATTCTTTGGGCACGCATCATTATGTAGTTTCAGTCACACGGTTAGAAAACAGTTTTAATGTTATTACGTCCCAAGTGCCATTAAATAGGAAAGACAATCCCACAGATTGCTTGTGTGTGTGCAAGTGAAGAAAAGCAGCAGAGGCTGGCCGGTAGCTGGGGGAGAGAAGGCCATAGGCTGGGGGGGGGAGTCCGACTTGAGAAATGGGCGAACGGCTCTCAGAGAACCAAAACAAAGAGCAGAAACGGGGACCAAGGAGAGGAAAATCACACCACAGGGAGCGCAGAAGTGAAAAGTATTACACGGGGAATAGTCGTGGCTGAAAACGAAACATTTCTTCATCTAGAAAAGGAAGGAAAAAAGTCTGCTGGGCCGTATTTACTAATATTGCAGTCAGAAGAACATGTTTTTTTGCGTGTGTCTAAGAGGGGAGGGGCGCTGGTGCTCCTGGTCCACAGGCGCTGTGACCGCGAGGATCGGGGCAGTGCTAAACTGAAAGGGAGAGACCAAGTATCCACCGGTTCCCAGAGTACGGACCTGGGAGCAGAGGGGACTGTCCCCCCTCTCCCCCCACCCCCAGACCTGAATGATGGGTGATGCAGTATGGGCACCTTCGGGGGACTGGGCCCTCATTCATGCCGGCCTCATTCTACGTACCTTTGCCCATTTGTGAAATAGCTGTGCACTCCCAGTTTTAGGGGGGCTAACTGGGAGGGCTATTTTAGTGCTGCACTTCCTAAGCTTTTAAACATACAATCAATTAATAGAAGTTGGTGTTAGGCTGGTTTCCGGGAGGCGCTGCCCAGCCAGAAAGGGTGTGTGGACCTTATCCTCCAGCAGAGGGCAGCACCACAACACAACTGCAGTGAAGGAACTGGCACAGCATCTTGTCTATTACGCCGAGCTTTCTCTAACACTGAATGATATCGATGCCAATCCTGGTGAACAATTGAAGCCCTAATCATCTGAAATCTTACAGCTTATGTGAGTCCGTGTCCTGTGTGTGTGGAGTCAGTGCGGCTTAGCTTTCACCCGCTGCATGTGGTGATGTACTGCAGCCAAATAAAATGCCTGTTACGTAGCACCCAATCCTGTAACCCTGCAGGTGGGCTCTCCGTTTAAAAGTGCGTGCCTCAGAATTTGGCTGAGAGATTTCATCCTTCCAATAGCAAAAGGACCTCAGCACCAGCAGTTCAGTTCCCAGTGTGGCCAACTGAACGCAGACTCCCGCAGACAGCATACCAGCAAAGCTCTTGTGTATTAATGACCTTACATTCTAACAGCTTGATCGATTAGTTACAATTTTCTTCCTCCTCACTCTTGCCCTTGTGCAGTATCAGCATATTTGCCCCATTACAGTGTTTGCTATAAATTAAAATTTTTAAAGTATTTGGGTAATTACACAATTGAGTTACAGTTCTACTTCAGTAGAGAATTACGCTGCCACCCAGCATGAAGTCGAAGTCTAGAGTCTGAATGAACTTTATGTTTTAAAATCTTTTGGCTGAATTTCTCTCTACTCATATCATACCCCTAATAATCAAAACTTTTCATAAAGTAAATGCCAGTCCCTACAGACGTCAGTCTGTGCAGACGATGGCAGAGTCAAACTGAAACAGCACATTGACATCAGCTCTCCGATTTTTAAAAATCCCTTCTACGCTGGCATTTCCCCCTGCAGTTGTGATAGGAATTTTAAGCTTTCATGGCCAGGGGAAGAAATCATTAGCCTTCAGGACTTTGGAAGTGATGTTGCCAAATGGAGAGGCGAGCAGGTAGTGCTGTGCGGTCACATGGTTTTCCTGTATCTCCTGAGCTTCAAGATAACGGAGCACGCTCAGCTCCGCCCACACGGACCCACCTGAATTCTGTGTCAACGTTTCTCGTCCGACTCAAAGGTAAGTTCGGCGGACACTTAGGAGGAACAGCAACATGCAAGAGACCTATGATGATACATTCACTTAAAAGTCAGTGTTGAAGCCCTGGCTGGCGTAGCTCAGTGGATTGCATGCGGGCTGCAAACCAAAGCATTGAAGGTTCGATTCCCAGTCAGGGCACATGCCTGGGTTGCAGGTCATAACCCCCAGCAATTGCACATTGATGTTTCTCTCTCTCTCTCTCTTTCTCCCTCCCTTCCCTCTCTAAAAATAAATGAATAAAATCTTTTTTAAAAAGTCAGTGTTGAGACTGAAATCCTGAGTTTGGAATTCTGGAACATGTCCCATAGGAGAGGGGTCAGCAGGGACCTGTGTGCCCACGCCAGCCCACAGCCCACAGAGCACTCTTGAGTCACACACCTGCGACTCGGAGAACGGATGGTTCTGTGGAACTGCCTCACCGCGTGTAGCGGTGCTTCCAGGGGGGAGATTCCCGCCTTTTTTCCAGATTTAAAATCTGGGATAGTAGAAACTTTAAAGAAAAATTATTTGCAGCTGTGGTCCTATTGACAGGGTTAGACACCCACCTCTGCCAGCTGCTGTCCCACCACCCAGAGTGGCTCTCAGGCACACGGGGCCTCCCCTGAGCTGGGACCTGGAGAGGAGCCCAGAGAGGCTGGCTCGGCAGCAGGGGGAGGCCAGGGTGGTGTTGGGAGTGTCACTTCCGCCCCCTCCTCCCTCGGGTTGCCCTTTGTCAGTGGACATGGAGGGAGCCTCCGGATGTGCAGAACCCTCTCCACCCCCCTCTGTGGGAGTGATGGCTGGGTGGGCTGGAGGTACCACCTGCCCTCCTATTCTCTGTGTAGGGGAGGTCAGGGCCCCAAGTGGGAGGAGGAAGGAGCAGGGTGAGGATGGGAGCAGAGAGGGGTTCCCCCACTGCCTCAGCTGGTCATGGGCCCCGCAGGCTGCCCTGCAGTGGGGGCGACAAGTTCCCCCGGGCGGTGATGAGGGAGGGAACTATGAAAGGAAGGAGTGGAGGGAGTTTCCCAGCATCCTGGGGACAGAAGGGGGACTTTCTAGGGGCACCAGGCCAGGCAGCAGTTAGCAAGACACTTGTCAGGCTGGCCACTCTTTACATCCCAAGGGGGTGTCAGGACACACTGAGCGATGACCATCAGACAGCCAGGGTCCAGTACCATGTGGCACTAAATAATCACAACCTTTTTAGTTCCAATTCCCTCAAATGTTGATCACAAACACCGAAAGCTCATCTATGTTTACCCACAGTAAGTTTTGGACTAACATGCACAAGTGTGTCACATGTTGCCTCATGAGGACATGGCATGGGAAGTCTACTTCCCAGGAGACCAGGGCCCCTCGGAAGTCTGTCTCCCCAGGGCCCAGGACATGGCTGATGATAAATATTTAACCATCACCTCACTGGACTTCTTTTTGCAAAAATATTTAAAAATATATATTTTTAAACTTTCTACATTTTACTACTGGCTGTCACTCTGCATGCATCTTGCAATAATCCTGACATTGATCTGATAACCCTGACAAAGGCGGGTGAGCTGAATCAGAGGCATGAGTCTCTGAGTGAGAGGCAATAGCGGATTTGCTAGTTTGGAGTTTACATTTGATGGTGAGGCTGACTTTACATCACAGCAACCTAACAAAAACCACGGTAACCATTAGTCCAAAAAACATTGGTTGTTTTCTTTTGAGCTAACACTAACCTTTCTTGTACTGCTCTAATCAATATTAACCCATCACTTTTGCTTATTTTAAGCAGACATACGGCATCTCCCCAATTGAACAGAGTGCCTTAATTTTCTAACCCACAGCCAAATCCAAGTAGCACTTTCATGAAATTGTCAAGCACACTAAAGCTTTGCAATCCCCCCACCCCCGCCCCCACCAAATCCTAGAAAATCTGGTCTGTCCAATAACAAACACTTCCGTCTGCCATGATTCCCTTTCCCCTTAAGCATCACGTAAGAACTTTAGATCTTTGGACCCAATATTTCATTTGGTTTAAAATTTGGATTTTATCGCATATCCTCCCCTCCAGCAAGAAGATTAAAGATTCCCCCCACCCCTTGCTGGCTAAGTAAGTGGCTTTCAGCTGAGACAGTAAGTGCTGGAAGGGGCGGCTCACCTGGGGGCCAGGTGATTTGTGTTTCTTTGTTAACAGAGCTCCCTCTCGGGCGGGCGAGACAGCCAGCCTCATGCAGAAGATGTCAAAGTCCCATTCAAGCTAATTTTTAAAGGCTGTGGGTGACCAAGGGGCACGCTGCACCCTCTTTGCCAACCCCAGTCCCACGGCCCTTTCACCTACTGATTCCCGACTCCGCCCTCCCAGTCACCATTGATTTTTTGTATCTCTTTCAAAAATACTTGAGCAAATGACATTTTTGATAGCGCACAGACTATAAAAGCATTGGAATAAAAGGAGGGTGCAGGTGTTCTGAAAGGTATCACCACGTAATACCAGTGTCCTGTTCATTCCCCAAGTACGTTAAAACAAACCAGTCACAAGCAGACCCCACAGGCGCCCTGTCTGTGCCGCGGCCTCGGAGCAGCGCCCACTGGCCGAGAAGGAGCCCGTGGGCGAGGGCCGTGTGGGGCCATCACCGTCTGAGTTCCTGCTTCGACCTTCAGCAGCACGTGGGGGGAACTTTCATGGTGGCACGGATCTGTTCTGACTGCGGGCCCGGGCTGGGTCCCTAGAGGAGCCTGTGAAATGTTTCTGCCAATTCCAGATTCAAATATTAAATTAAAACATGTGCAAAACTAAACAAGCAAAAATCCACCACCAAAACATAATGCACCCTTCCCCCGCAACCACCAGCGTCGGGAGAACCTCCGTTCCACGTCCTTATCCTCAGTTCTTGAGAAAGAACAGATTCCTGCCACGCCCTGACCTGGGTTGTTTCAACGTTCCAAAGAGGCCAGGGAGAAGGAGCAGAGGTCTAGCAGTGTCTGGGGTGGTCCCCACACCCCCTCTTGGGCCACTCCTCGTCCAGCCACCTGCGCAGGACGGTCTCCACATCCACCCGGCGGTAAAGCCTGCAGAGGTCCATCAGCTGGCCCACCGTCCTCTGGCTGTTTCGGAGCAGGAACTCCACGGTGGGGCTCTGGGGCCTCTGCTCCAGGAAGCACAGCTCGTCGTAGGGCATGCCCCATTTGCTGGCAAAATTCCTCCAGTTCTTGACCGTCGGGTGACATGGGTCCAGCTTTATCCTGATCACGTCGAGTAAGTCCTGATCATTGAGCAAGTCACTGATGGTGGCGGCCCGGGGCGAGCAGGAGGAGCAAGTGCAGTTGTCCCGGCAGGACTTGACCTCGCTCACATCTGGAACAGACAGGACACGTGTCAGCAAGCGCCCACGGGCTGCCTCAGCTCTTCCGTCCCTCATGTTCTGTCTGAATTGGCAAGAGGCTCGGTGTCCACACTCACGCAACGGTGGGCTCTGACGGCCCAGGACAGGTGGCTGTGCTGGAAGCAGTAGTGAGATTTGATCAATAAAGCCCCTTTCCCGTCCTTCCTTAGACTCTATGTCTTATAACGTGGGGCTACCAGCCAGACCCAGGGCTCTGGGACAGGGCATCAGCGGGGGTGGGGGGAGGGGGGCAGATCACCAGTGTATTGGGGTCAGACTGCCGTCCCAAGAGCAAACCAGCCCCTACTTGCCTGCACCTCAACCCCTATCCCTTCCAAGTTACAAGTCTGCCCTGACAGCCGCCTCGTGCCAAGCACAGCACGTTAAGGTGCACAGATTGCACAATTCTGTAAAAGGTCTTTAAACACACACACACACACCCTGAAAACTGGAATATCCACTCCACACACAGATTTGAAAGTGAGTGATATTTGATAATGCCTGAAAGCTAACTTTTTAAATTTGCGGTCACCTTATCATCGCTTCGCCTTCATCTGCGTTTTCTTCGCCCGCGGGGCTTCCTCTGAAGTGGAGCCAACACCTCGAGGAGTGCGCAGGCGCAGGGCAGACGCGCAGAGCCCAGCCCAGCCGGGGCGAACAGTGCGCCCCCACCAGGCAGCTCTGGCCGGTGTCCGCGCTCAGGGCGCGTTAGGAGGAGGGAGTCCGCGGGTGGTGAGCGGAGTCTGCGCTGCCACGGAGCAGCCCGAGCGACCTCCCTTCTGCGCTAGCAGGGGCCTCCTGATCCCTACGTGGGGGGAGTTTAACAGTCAAGGGCCACGCGGGAGACCCCTCCCTGGCCTGGGAAATTCTGGAAAGTTACAGTGACCTTTACCACGCTAAGCTGTGGACATCCCAATTTAGAAAAGTAAAGAATTGGGAAAAGGGAGTCACTTTGCTGGTGGCGGGTAGAGAACCAGCGGTTCGGGGCAAGCACACATTAAAAGGTAACGGGCGCCATGACCAAACTGATCTAATTTCTGGGCGTCCTGCCCGAGGAGACGGTCTGAAGTATGTGTGCCCACGAACATTTTTGTTACAGTCTCATCCACTTTTTCAACAACTCACATGTCAACTACTTGACAGAATATTGTTTAAGGAGTTATGAAGACTAGGCAGCAACCCAGAAAACGCTTGTGCTGTAATGTTTAGTGAAAAATGCCTGTGCTTAGACTATGTGAAGATTCCGTGTTAATAGTATTACTGTGGAAGGAAATGTACAAAAAATAACAATAGCCATTGCGTTAGTATGGTAGGATCATGTTGCTATTTCCCAAACTTTCTCTAGTGGTGTTACATTTCTGTAGCAACCAGAAGAATGCCTTGCATTATTAACAGAGACATTGTTTGGCTGTGCAGGAGGTGACTTAGCACTCATGGGCACAGCATCGCTCCTCTCTGTCGAGCTTCACGGACACCCGTGAGCCTCCCTTCCCGCCTTCTCCAAGATTTGTTTCCTCAAACATCTCCTCTCATCCCCTCACCTCTAGCCCCCAGCTCTACTATTTCCTTTCTTTTATCTACAAACATGTATAAGGGCTCCTCTATTGCAAAAAACAAACAAAAAGCCACTCTCCTCTGATTTCATAACTTGCTGAAGCCACTTTCCCTTTCTCTTTTCTTAATTCACGGTTGAACTGCTAGAAGAATTCAAAACCCGCTGCCTCTGATGCCTGCCCACATCCTTCACCTTCTCGGGCTTCAGGCAGCGGCTGACCTCTCCTCATCTCCACCAAACCTTGTGGAGTCCAGTCCCAGTTCCCTCCACCCCAGCTGCTGGCAGAGTGCCGCTGTGACCCGGCAGGAAAACCCAGGACAGAGGGGTGGGTCCCCACCTGACCCTCAGGATCACTGCTGCCGCCCAGGTCCCCAACACACCAGTTCCCCTGGGTACTGCTGGTGCTGCAACTGTGCCCAGGACTCTGTGGTCCTGTGGACACTGCAGGTTGTACTGCAGGCCGCACCCTCCCTGAAGGTTCCTTCTGACCGCCACGCCGCATCCCCCAGGCACTTCCCACCACATGGAGACTGCGTCCCTTCCGTTGTCAGCCTGTCCCTCTGAGACCCCAGGCTGTACCACTGCCCAGTCCTCGGGAGTAACCTGGGGCACTCCAGCTCTGTCCTTGGCCCTGAGATCCCCACTCCACGGTTTCTTTTTGGTCATCTCCCCCACTCCCAGAGCTCTCATGGGACAGGAAGGCCCCTCTGGCTCTGCACAAGTGCTGGACCCAGCTCAGTGCATGGTGCAGAGCAAGTGCTTCCCACAGCGGCCGGGCGCATGGAACAACTGGGTGCCTGGCCCTGCCCACCTTTGCAGGCTCCAGAATGACCGCCAGAGAGCCCCCTGCACATCTAGAGGGCCTCCACCACGAAAGGGACCTCTAATCGCACTGGACACTCTCCTCCTGGGCACCCAAAGCACCTGGATTACTTACACAGCTATGGTAAGTTTCACTCCCCCGACCTGTCCCCACTGCCGTGGACTCCCGGGGAAGCTCTGGCCACTCTGCCCGTGTGAGTCCCAGGACAGCCCCCAGCATGGCCTGCGCTCCAGACAAGCCGGAGGACTGGGCTCCCAGAGCTCACATTTCCTGTTTTGTTTTTTAAAGCTCAATTAAATTAAAAGAAATATTAATATAAATTCAGTATAGAAAATTGAAAAATTATATACAACGATGGACACTTTGAGTTTTCCCGATTTCACAGCTATGGGTAGTAATTCAATGCAGACCCCTGCGTATACATTTTTAAGCATCTCCCAGGTCAGAGAATCTGCAGGCCACAGCGCCAGCACCCCTCAGCTGCCGGAGTCTCTGCCCCAGTTGCCTCCCGCAGACAGACGCTGCACCCCCTCACACTCCAACCAGAGCTGGGGGTGGCACCTCCCTCACGGCACGTCACCTTTCTCAGCACCAGGCACTAGGCTTTAGAGGTCTTTGTCAATTTCATAGGTGGAAAAGTATACCTTATGTTTTTCTACTTCCATGCCCTTTCTGGTGTTTCCTCTCTTCTTTCCCCCTCCCTGAACTTCCTCTGTTGAACTTCCCTTCCACTAGTGACCTTCATCCATTCTATAAAACCCACCTCGGATCCCCCTCCTCCAGGAAGTCTTCCTGCTCCTGCCGAAGGCCTCACTAGGGATCCCACTGCTGTGTCGGCACCTCCTGACTCCGTGCAGGAGACTGAACAGGCTTCCTGTTCACTGTGCCACCCTAAGCCCTGCGCTGCGTCCCATGTCTGTTTAAGATGCAGACACGTTTCTACATAATACACAGAGAGTGGTTCCCCCGCTACACGGATGGTGTGCCAAACAGTCAGACTTCAGCTGCATGGTGGGAAGAGTTAATTCATCTAAAAAAAACGAACACCTTTCTAAGGGTGAAAGGAGCTTCTTGCTGAAAGAGGGGTATATGAGGGCAAGCCTGAATTTTCTTTGCTCTTGCTTAAAGATAGGGTCAAATGAACGATATTCTGCCAAGTGGGAAAGAAGCAGATCACCATACAGTACACAAAATTCAGTTTTTGTAAAAATAAATAATACAGTCATTCAGAGTTCTGGCCAAGATGGAGGCACAGGTAGATAAGCTTTGCCTCCTTGCACAACCAAAAGAAGAACAACAAAAAATTTAAAAGCAAAAATCAAGCACAGCTGCCAGAATTCGAACTGTATGGAAGTCCAACAACCAAGGAGTTAAAGAAACAACATTCATTCAGATCAGTAAGAGGGACAGAGACAGGCAGCTGGGGTGGAGAGGACTCGCAGCAAGGCAGCAGCTGGAGGGCCAGCCTGGCAAGGGAGTGGGCAGTGCCACATTTGCATGAGGATAAACTGGGAGGAACAACGGGGGAGCGAGACAGACCATGCAGCCCAGGGTTCCAGCATGGGCAGGGGGGAATAAAGCCTCAAAACCTCTGGCTGTAAAAACCTGTGGGGGTTGCAGTGGTGGAAGAAACCCCCAGCCTTGCAGGAGAGCTTGTTGGAGGACCCACAGGGTCCTAGAATGTATATAAGCCCAGCCACCCAGGAATCAGCATCAGAAGGACCCAATTTGCTTGTGGGTAGTGGGGGAAGTGACTGAAAGCAGGGAGAGAGCCCAGTAAGTGGCATTGTTCCCTCTCTGACCCCTCCCCCATATACACCACCCCACCAAAGTGATGTGGGTTGCCCTGCCCTGGCGAATACCTAAGTCTCTGCCCCTTACTACCTAACAGGCACACATATGCCCCAAATGAAAGAACAGATCAAAGCTCCAAAAATAGAACTAAGCAATGAAGAGATAGACAACCTATCCCATGCAGAGTTCAAAACACTGGTAATCAGGATGCTCACAGAATTAGTTGAGTATGGTCGCAAAATAGAGGAAGAAGTGAAGGCTATGAAAAGTGAAATAAAGGAAAATATACAGGGAACCAACAGTGAAGGGAAGGAAACAGGTACTCAAATCAACGATTTGGTACAGAAGAAAGAAATAAACATCCAATCAGAACAGAATAAAGAAACAAGAATTCAAAAAAATGAGGAGAGTCTTAGGAACCTCAGGGACAACTTTAAACGTTCCAACATCTGAATCATAGGGGTGCCAGAAGGAGAAAAGGAAGAGCAAGAAATTGAAAACTTATTTGAAAAAAAAAAATGAAGAACTTCCCTAATCTGGCAAAGGAAATAGACTTCCAGAAAGTCCAGGAAGCTCAGAGAGTCCCAAAGAAATTGGACCCAAGGAAGAACACACCAAGGCACATCATAATTAAATTACCCAAGATTAAAGAGAAGGAAAGAATCTTAAAGCAGCAAGAGAAAAGGAGACAGTTATCTACGAAGGAGTTCCCATTAGACTCTCAGCTGATTTCTCAAAAGAAACCTTACAGGCAAGAAGGGGCTGGAAAGAAGTATTAAAAGTCATGAAAGGCAATGACCTACATCCAAGATTACTCTATCCAGGAAAGCTATCATTTAGAATGGGGGGGGGCAGATAAAGTGCTTCCCAGATAAGGTCAAGTTAAGGGAGTTCATCATCACCAAGCCCTTATTATATGAAATGTTAAAGGGACTTATCTAAGG